TTTTTATGTGTATGTGTATTTTATTTTTCCTACCCATGATGCCTTTACATAGCCCAGGCAGACTTCTTACTTGTGACTACTCATTTCTCAGCATCGCAAATCCAGGTTTGGACCCTCAAACTCTTTCTGGGAATGTTTGCTTTTGATATATAAGGGCTCACCTGGGTTCATGTGCCTGCAATCAGAACTGACAACAGTTCATCCCATCTTCACTAACATCCTCATGGATGGTTTGAGCTCTGCTGAGACTCTGGGGAAATTTTCATCATTACATACAAAACTTCTCTTTGTTTGGACTCATCCAAAACCTATAATAGTCTGAGGATCTTCCCCACGGGCTTATTCGGTACAAGTGACCCATGTTTCCTGCTCTGTGTCTCCTGCCTAGATTATCAGCATCTTTTATATCTCACTTTATTAGTGTGTATATTCAGAGGAAAAGTGCCAATCCTGGGCAATTTTGGAAAGTGGGCTTTGAACTCCACACAGATAAGAAGTTTCTACCAGAGCAGAAAGTTAGATCTCTGGCTTTGGATGGAGGAGGTATTCAAAGGATCCCTGTGCCCCTGGAGTCTCCTCGAAAAGGCAACTTGGATTTATGTCAGTTTGAGGTAAGATAGCACAGAGTCAAGGGCTATACAATATGACACCAGTAGTCCCTTTCAACATTCTATTATATCTAGGAGAGCAATGGCATCTCCTGTGATGTCACCAGTGTTGTGACAACACCAAGTGCCAGTATGGCATTTGTTCAGTGCCTTCACTGTTGACCCATACACAAGTTTGCAAGACTGTGCAGCTATTTCAGAGAGAGAATGGAGAACATAAAGAGACCAGAGAGAGGCACAAGGAAGCAGGCTTCAGTCTCAGTCTCAAACATTGTAAAATAAGTGGCTATGGGGAAGGAACAGAGAGTTCTGGGTAGGAAATGAAAGGTAAGACAGTTCTGCTTCATAGTTTTCCAAACGACAATCAAAAGGAATCTAAGAAACAGAATTCACTCACAATAAAACTTTACTGCTTGAATTTTGGCAAAAATCTTTGTTAGAATGTTTTTGCTCTTGGCATCATCTGTGCTCCTTGTGAATAAGTTTGGCATTTAATGTGCTCTTAACTGTAAGGAGAATTTTCAAGTGACCAAACATTTAATAACACTTCTTATACAATAACAGACCAGGATCAACATCTTCATTAACAGTGAAAGAATATACCATTTAAAACTTTGTATTGACCATATATCACACTAATGACTTACACTGATGTTTTTCTACTTAATGGTGTTCCAATTCGATAAATTGTTAGATTTACTGAATTGTCTACATAATATAAGATTTTTAGCTTCTTTAGCTGGGATTATATTCCAGGGGATGTTAGCAGAAGTAAATGAAACACAGTGCATTGTATATGCAATTGAAAATCTGAGATAATAAAGGAAAGAACTGTGAGGGGGAATTCATGAAAAAATATATGTCATTAATCTTCCTTTTGTGCAAAAATTATAATATAGGCTATTTTCCTTTACCAGCATTTCATAACACAATTAACAAATGGCAAATATATCATTCCACTTGCTAAAATTAGAAAAGAAATAGTCATTTTTGCCTCTCTTATTATTTTCACCTGTTGGTCCATAGCAATGTTTTCTGAAAGTACTCTTTTTTTTAAAGATTTATTCATTTATTATGTATACAGTATTCTGTCTGCATGTGTGTCCACAGGCCAGAAGAGGGCACCAAATCTCATTACAGATGGTTGTGAGCCACCATGTGGTTGCTGGGAATTGAACTCAGGACCTCTGGAAGAGCAGTCAGTGCTCTTAACCTCTGAGTACCCTTGACTTATTTAAACTGTATATTCATAGAACCATATGTAATTGATTTTATTGCCACAAGATAAGTGAAAACCATTTAAACATTTCTGAAACCTTAAAATTGTATCATGGTGTATTCTTGGCTGAGCTGGGTCCCACTGCCCTTCTCTATCCCAAGAAAACATGCATATGCTATATTTGTTATTAAGCTGTTGGTAAGTGACTAAGGTTTCTTATTTGCTAGCTCTGTCTAAATTAACCCATTTCTAATTATGTATTACCACAAGATTTTCTTTTAACAGAGAAAGGTCAGAGCCTCTTACTCTATTAGGGTCTAAATTGCATCTGCTCAGTGTTTCCACATAAAAGAGAATAAGGGAGAAGACAGTGATTTCCTGTTAGTTCCTGCTTATATATACTGTTACTGCCCAGTTACCTCACTTCCTGGGTCGCATGATGATTCCTCTCTGCCTACATTTCCCAGAATCCTCCTCATTTGTTAGTCCACATATCTTGCTGCCCATTGGCCAACAGCACTTATTAATCAACCAATAAGAGACATATTTACAGAATGACAACTCTCATCATCTCCTCTTTTCTGTCATTATAAAAAGAAAGGTTTAGCTTTAACACAGTTAAATTATTTATAAAAAACGGTTATCAAGTAAGAATTATAGTTAACAATATTTAGTCCATTAACATTTAGCAAACATTAAAGAAAATATTCTATCATCTATCCTATCTTTGTGGGTCTTAAGTCTTATATGTAATTTATCTTTTATCATAACGAAGGAAAACTATAACCATGACTATCTGTCTTCAACTCCATCAAAGAACATAGAAGGATAATGTATAAACTCTAGAATTGGCAGCCTACAAGCCTGGTGCCAGTGAGTCTGGGAAACAGCGAGATTCCCAAGATATATATGCCAAGCGAATACTCTACCACTGAGTTACTCCTCAACATTTTAGTTTTTGAGAGGATCTCTGTAGGTTGCCAAGATAATCTCCCTGGTTCCATCTCAATCCCTTCCCTTTGCAAGGTTTGGGATAATGAGCATCATTGCTGGTAATACTCTATCTTACATATTGTAGACAAAATAATCTCATCTGGTTTGGCCATGGTAGTGTCAGATAAAAATATCAGTCGATAGCTCTTACTCTATCTTGGATGAAAGCAGACTGCAATGGAGTCTCAGCAAATGCTGTAGATTGGGTATAGACTACTTTCTGCTTGAATACTTTTTGTCATAGATTTCTTAATATAGAAATCTGTTCATAAGGACAGTCTTCCTTGGGGTCACTGCAGATCTGATTACATTAGGTTGTCCCTGTTTTCTTGTAGCATTCTTCTAGTACCATAAAGTCATTTTATTTCTTCTCTCCATTAACAAGTACATAGGCAGGATTTCATCCTTTGTGCTTGAAGAGTCAGAAAATTGTGCTCCAAGTTGTTACACAGTATGGTATGTGTGATGAACTATAGACATAAGACTTGCACAAGTTAAAGATAGTTGTGGTGATATACTTACAAAAGGAATTGTAATGGAAACTAAGTATGGTGGAATATTTAAATAATTCTCCAAAATTACAGAAGTGTTATCATAAGCAGAACAAAGAAAAACAGAATCAAAATAATATTTCAATTTTTGGGCTGGCAAGACTTCCAGAGGTGGGACTGTGTTGCATTCGATTGAATTGTTGGCCTTGGCAGATGATAACCATGCTGGAAGAGTCCCATAGATATTCCTAAATAACCAGGCTGATGCTAAGACAGAGGGTATCTCCATGAAAACAGACAACAGGACACAGATGCTGAGGACATCATCCACACAGCTTATTGAATACAGAGAGTTTGAGCTGGTAACTGCATGAAGACTTCACCCCTAAGACCTAATCTTTTTGTCATGAGAAGGTACTCTGCAAGCTGCAGAAAGAGAAACCTGTACTCAAACCCAGCCACAAAACCCTTGACCTGTACAATCTGTCCTGCCTTTAAGGTGGAATAGAACTTATGTGTGTGTGGCCAACTAAGACTTGGTTTAACTCAAGCCCAAGTCCACGAGAGGAAACCTGTGACCTATTCTACATGTATGACCATGATACAGAGACTAGATAGCCCAGAGACATATGGTAGAACCAAACAGGATGGGAAAAAAGCCAGTGAAATGATTCTTAATGGTATTCTGCTATACTCATAGATCTTTGGCTTGTCCATTCAGCATCAGAGAGGCTTCCTAGGGCAGCACATGGGAGTGGGTACAGAGACCCACATCCATACATTATGCAGAGAGAGAGAGGTTTGTGTAGTGTTGTGTGTTCTCTTAATCTCTCTCTCTCTCTCTCTCTCTCTCTCTCTCTCTCTCATCTCATTCATGTGAGTTGTTGAATCTCTAGTCCCATGCACCTTGATGCTCACATCTCTCCTCTAAGGGCACCTGGCAGGATGATGATGCACAGACCTACAGGCAAGAAAAATGTTTATCCTGATAAAAAAATGAAAGAATCAGAAGGTCAAGATCATCCACACTTCACATTTCCTTAACCTTGTGCCAGAGACTGTAGCAAAGAAAAAATAAAGCGCAAGGTCACAGCTTGACTGGATTACTTATATTTGCACATCTCTTGCCTTCCAGTTAAACCTTCCTTCCTCTTGGAGCTGAGGAATCTAACCTTACTAATTTGAATGTTTGTGAGGAAACTTTTTTAGTTTTCAGAGGAACACAAATACTTGGTTTACTTCACATTTCAACATAGTTTTTGTTTATTTTATTGAGACAGGGTTTGTCTTTTTCTGTAGACTTTGTTGAATCAGAATTCACTGTTCAGATCAGGCTAGCCTGATTTCACAGAGATTTCTCTTCCTCTTTGATCCATGTGAAAATTTTAAATTAAAGGTAAACTCCATTACAACACAGCTTTTAAGTTTTACTTTTATATGACATCCATAAAGCCTTATCCATACTCTGACACTCTTATACTATTACCTGCAGACATATTGTCTCACTGCATGGCCCAAGACTTCTTTCTGACTATGGCCATGAAAGTAGCAAACTTCTCCAAAACATTTTAAGTCTACTGTTAGTGGGACATATTTTTTATATATTTTTTGAAGTTTCATAGGAAGCCTCAAAACAATACTCAACTAGAAATAGCAAAGAATGAAGTAGCCCAAAATAACAATAGTTTGAGGTTAAAACTGATTGCTAAATATAGCTTTAAACATAATTGAAAGTATCAAAATTATGTTTCACTGATAACTTGTATGGTGGGTTCCATATTGGGAATGGTAAAGAAGGAGAAGAGTCCTTTATAGTTTGTTTTTAAGATGGAAGGGAATAAAATTCAGAGACTAAGAAGATGACATGATATATGTTTAAAAACAGTCTCCTGCTCCCTTAAAGAACACAAATACTAAGATACAAGAAGGATTCTTTCTAGGAAGCAGTGGCTGCTTCAGACAGGACAGCTGGCATGGACTAGAGTGTATGAATCGGTATCTGAATGTATACTAGGGGATGACTAATGGGGTAGTGGTGAACTTGTGGTATGTACTGAAAATAGATAAATGGTGTAGTTTGTAAGTTTTCTTTGTAAGACCTTTTATGATGCCTTGTTAATATATAACTGCCCTTATCTGAGTAGCTACATGGTCTTTCTCTGGTAGCTCTCTCTCTGCCTTACTCTTCCCAGAATTTTCCTAATCTGGTAGCCCTACTTATACTTCCTGACTGGCCACTGGCCAATAAGTATTTATTTTTCAACCAATAACAGAAACATATACTCACAGCTTACAGAAGGACCTTCTTCATTATATCTCCCAGTGCCAGTGGGGCTAGAATACAGGCTGAGGCACATGTCTAGTCATGGTCATTGGAGACAGAGACATGGCTTATGGACTCCAGCTTAAGTATAGCTGCTCTGATCTTTCAGGGCTTCCCTGGGTTCCATGCATTTCCTTTTTCTCAGGTTCCTTCTTGGGAATCCACATGATTTCTCTTAGCCCTATGCCATTCAGCTGTGTAAATGTACATGTGTTTATATACCTACAGGGACTTCTGGGAAGGCATCATTCCATTCTCACCCTCCTTCCTCACAGAGTGGGAGCATCAAGGTATAAAAACTAACCCTTCTTTAAAGATGATGATATAGAAGAGGAATGAACTGCATGTACTCCTTATCCATTATCCCCAAAATGATTTGAGCAACAGGTATTCATCATGCACCATTCTCTGGTGAATCACTTGCCACTCCTGTGTCAAGTCAAGCATTGACCTGTGTCAAGTTAGGTCATTGGAAGCTCCACCTTCAGGGTGTCCTCCTGCCCAAACAAATTTTCCTGAGTACATCTGAGGCAGAACTGAAACCTAGACAGGAGTGAGATGGGTACACAGGGTGTTCTGATTCCTCCAAAAGTAAAGCAGACCCTGTGGCCTGAGTCACATTCTACAGACAGGGGCAGTAGTGTGTGAGCTCACAACATGCATTCAGGAAGCCTTGACAGGTGTTGGCTTATGGGAGATGCTGGGTGCTTCTGGTTTATGGTAAGTCTTTGTATTTCACTAGGTGAGTTTTTGCTGGTTGTTCTGGGAGCAGATTAAAGGGCTTGTCCTACTTGGTCCATCTGGATATGTGACTGGAAGGTCTGGAGCTCATCCTAGGTCTTCTCTGATCTTGTTCTTTGTAGTCTGAGACAAGGCCACCAACCTGCATTCCTTTGACATCCTAATTATGTTTGAGTTTATGTGTGTGAAGGGCTCTCTAACAGACCCCAAGTTTGAAAAAATGGCAGCAGAAGATTTTGCTCTTTTCACTTCCCTCTTCACTGATATACCAATAGATTGCATTCCTAAATTTAGTTTCCAAGGTCCATTCTCTTATTTTGTCACTGACCAATTCCTGTGTCTAAAAACCTCTCTCCAGCAATCAAAATTCTGTATTTGACTACACTGGCAAACCTGTCCAATCAGGTTTAACCAAACCTAGCACAGACTTCCCCTCTTTTTTTTTTAAATGCACTGCTGAAAAAGAAAACCTGCTTGATGTCTGCTCCTGTGTGGTGCAGGTGAAGCTTCCTGCCTGCCCCCCATCCCATTCTTTTCCTCCTGAGGTAATAAATCTGCTTTTTGCTGTAGAGTCTGTGTTCTGTACTGTCTCTGTGGGGCTCCATTATAGGGTGTGTGTGTGTGTGTGTGTGTGTGTGTGTGTGTGTCTCCAGATCCTGTGAGGCACAGATTGCTAGCAAGGCTGAGGATTTGTGGGTCTCAGAGTTGCCAAGTGAGAAGGTTCCAGTACATAAGATCAGGATATGACACCCAGTGGGCTAGGTCAGTCACAGACAAAGGCTTACTTCATGTGATTTCAGAGGACTGTGTTCATGGGGTTCTTTTCTCCTGGGGCCATGTCTTACCACAGGCTTGAGATGCTGAAAATGGAGCAACAGGCACAGATGTCAGATGTGAAGAAATTCCCCAAGGAAAGTAGTGAGGCCTTGTACAAGAGAAAGTACCTGACTGAGAAGTCCAGCTTCTACCAGTGAGTGTCTGACTTGGATGGGACCCCAGCCCTTAGGCAGGACAGCTTCTGCAATTCTTTGTCTCTGAACCAAAGTGAGGGATGTAGTTCTAGCCTTTTTACCTCTAAGCAAGAAGTATGTCTTATAGCTCTTGGATTCATGCCTCCCAGACTGAGTTCTCCTAAGTGCAAAGAGTCTGAGAGGCCCTCCCAAAATTTTCATGTCACCTTCTGGAGTTTCTAGATATAATACATGGTTTGCATCATCAATGGTTTCTGGGACACTGGTGGGGGCTAACAGAGCCTGTATCTATGGAACAAGTAGATGGAATATATTTCTGTTGGGTCCTCTGTTCTTCTTCAGAGGGTGTCCCATCTACCTGATGATTGATATTTCCCCAATACCATGAACAGTTAATCACAGGTGTGGGGATATGTGTGGGAGATCACTGATCCTGTTTTCAAAGGTACATGAATCCCTTTTGGTGTCACGATCTTCAGATGAACCTTGACTCTTTCTGGAATTTTTCTGTTCTCTGGCTTTTGCCTGTACCTTGATAATGCTGCCATGGCTAATGTCAGTTCTAGCCTATGGCTGTCTGAGGACATGGGACCTTGTAGGGATGATGGTGGCATTAGGAGGGAGAAGTGGCAGATGGAGGTTGACTAATGCTTATCAATTTTTGTGAAGGTTAAGCATCTTTCACAGCTGGCTTCTGAGTGAATGGACACAGTTGAAGGAAAAAGTGAGCATGTTAAATGAGGTTAACAGGCTGGGAGTTTGTGGTGCATGCCTTTAACCCCAGCATTAGAGAGACAGAGGCAGGCAGATCGCTGTGAGTTCTAAGACACTGAGCTCCAGGACAGGCTCCAAAGCAATCCAGAGAAACCCTGTCTGGAAAAACCAAAACCAACCAACCAAACAAACAAACAAAAAATAAACAAAAAACAAAAAAGACAAAACAAACAAAAAAGAAAACATGCCCTCTCTGTGATGTCCATGACTCTGTCTTAGAACAGAGACGGAACCTGGGTAACTGTACTTAGGACATTGTGATGGTCAACTTGGAGCTATCTGCAGACTATATATCCAGCCCTCTTCCTTTGGCACTTGGTCTTTGGGGGTCAAGTTCAGTTGTGCAGAGGTTGTGACTCACCTGTAGGATCAGTGAGTCTTGGGATGATAAACTTTCCTCGAAGTGGAAGGAAGTCTAGGCAAGTCAGGCTGTGTCTAAGAGCCTTGGGGAAAGCACTGAGGACCCTGTAACTTTGCTGGCAGCAGAAGAGGTGCTGCAACACACTAGTCCTCTCCCTTTATTTTCTGGGTTTAGGAAAGGGTGTGTGTGTGTGTGTGTGTTTCATGAGTATCTTTGTGTGTTTAAGAATATGTGTTTGACCCTCTCTATGTATGTTCAATCACTAGTGGAAAAATAGGACATCTTTAAGGATATGGAGACCTATGTTAATGAGAAAGTTCTCTACCAGCTCTGGTTAGTATCAATTTGCTTCAGTCAAAGATCATATGGAAATGCCCATCTTTCTGCATATCCACACATGTAACTTGAACAAAGGACCACAAAACTGATTCAAACTAAAAGATTTTCAGGGGCTTTTAGAGTCACAAATAATATTCCTTTGCAAAGAAATTCTATGGAGAAAAATTAAGTAATGTGGTACATGAAGGTGAGAAAGAAGATACTGAGTCAAATCATGGTGCCTGTGAGGCAGGAAAGGCTGGCTAATGGTTGGCATCCTTCTCTGCTATGGGTGAATATTGACTATCCACTGATGACTTCTATTCATCCTGTTTTGTTCTCCTCATTGCCTGCTACCATTTTTCTTCCACCTTTATCTAACCTTGGCTTAGTTAACCTTGTCCTTGGAGGTTTGTATGGATGTTATTCTCTGAGAAATCCTGAACTGCAGAGGTGCTTATGGTGGTCTCTTCCCAGCAGAAGTCCCATAGTTGTGTTGAGGTGTGAGAGCAGGCTGTCTCTCTGCAGCCCACTAAGGCTCATCATAGTCTAAAGCATTCACTCCAAGCTGTGTCTTTAGTACTCAGAAACTGTTTTTACTCCAAACTTCTTCATATTGAGTTAAAATCACCCTGATGAGGGGTTGAAAGAAATCAGGACACTTATACATTGCTAGTGCTGTAAAATGGTGTAGCCTTATGAGAAGTTATGTATAATTTTTCAGAAAGTTGAGCTTCAGCCCCCAAGTGACCTAGTGATCCTACAAGGAGAAGTGTTCACAGACAACTAGGGGAAAACAGGTTTATAGCAGCATTCCTCAAAGTATCCAAAAACCACAAACTATTCAAATGCCAATCACTGATGAGAAAAACATACAATGTGGTTGAGCCCTTCTATGAAATATTGTTAATACATACACTTATTTACCCATTACCTAGTCAACCTTCTTTTACTTAAAGAATCCCCTGACATAATCATATTACTTGGAGGAAAGGATTATTTTGACTACTGGTTAGAGAGATTTGCTAGTTTTCTTAGCTCATTTCTTTGTCCTTTACAGGTATAAATATAACTTACTAAGTTAAAATCAGTTACATTCAGGCTGGAGGGCTCTGAGTAAAGTATCCCTCCATAGCCTCTCAGCTCAGATCTAGTTCTCCAGACAGATCCTTCATAATGTTATTGTAGCCATACTAAGTACATATTTATTAATTACAGAGATCAAGCCTTACCTAACCACCTATGTATATAAGGCAAGTATCAAAAGACAGACAGCCCTCAAATGCTCAGAGATCTAGAGAATAAGGCATTTAAAATGCTTTATTAAAAACACAAAATTTTCACTAAAGTATGGACACCATGAAAAGGTCACACCTAAGAATAATAAATATAAGAAGAAGTTGAAAAAACCCAACTCAAAGGTTGCAGAAAACATATTGACAAAATCACAAGAAGAAAACTTTGCCGACCTAAAGAAAGACACACCAATGAATGTACAGAATCTTACAGAACAACAAGTAGAGTGGACCACAGAAAAGGTCCCTTGCCACATAATAATCGAAACACCAAACATACAGACTAAGAAAGAATGACCAAGACAGAGAGAAAGGAAAAGGCTGAAGTAACATATAAAAGGCAAATCCTCAAGATTACCTGATTTAATTCATGGAAACTCTGAAGATCAGAGATCCTGGGTAGATGTTCTACAAACAATAAGAGATGATGGATGCCTCTCCAGACCACCTAAAGCCCAGCAAAGCTTTCAATCAGTATAGATGAAGAAAACAAGATATTCTATGACAAAATCAGATTTAAACAATACATAAAATACAGCAGCCCTTCAGAAAGTACTTGAAGGGAAAACTCCAACCTAAGGAAAGTTCATTACAACTCACAAAACCCTAGCCAATAGATAATCTCACTTTACTAAATGCCAAAAAGAAAAAAGCAGAGTAAATCCACACACAATATGACCACCAATAATGAATCCAAAACCAACAAGAATTAACACTAAATGGTCCTTAATTTGCCTCCATATTAATTGTCTTAACGCCCATAAAAAGACGAAGGCTAACACAATGAATACGAGGGCAAAGTTGTTCTTCTATATACAAACACACCTCAACTCCAAAAACCTCAGAGTAAAGGGTTAGGGATATGATTTTCCAAGCAAATGGACCCAAGAAACAAACTGGTGTAGCTATCCTAATGTCTTGCAAATTAGACTTCAAATTAAAATCAGTCAAACAGATGAAGAAGGTCATTTCATATTCAACACAGGAAAAAATCATCAGGATGGCACAATTCTGAACATGTATCTGAAATACAAGGCTTATCACTGAGAAGAAAAACTACTAAAACTCAAATCACACATAAAACTTCACCTATGTGTGAGACTTCTTTCCCTCTTATCACTAGACAGGACCACCAGACAGAAACTTAACAAATAAAGTAATAAAAGTTATGGCCCAATTGGTTTTAACAGACATTCCTAGACTGTTCCATCCAAACACAAAAGAATATACCTTTTTCTCAATGTCACATTGAACCTTCTAAAGTGTTATACTCAGCAACCTAGCAAACTCATTAGATACAAATAATTGGAATAACCCCTTTATCTTATCAGATATATCGCGCAATGCTCAACAACAACACGAATATCAGAAATCCTACAATTATTGAAATTGAACTAATCTGCACAATTCACTGTTGTCTGTGTCAAAGAGTAATAAAGAAATTAAAGACTTCCTAGAATTCAATGAAAATTAAGATAAAACATGCAACATGAGACTAGAAGCACTACTAATGGAGAAAGTTCCATAGCAGCCATGAAGAAACTGGAGAAAAGTCACATTAGAGAATTAGCAGCACAACCAAACTTTAGAAGAAAAAGCAAACTCACACAAGAGGAGTAGATGCCAGAAAATAAACAAATTTAGGGCTGAAATCAATAATGAAAATGAAGAATGCAACACAAAAAAGATCAATGTAACAAAGAGTTGGTTTTCAGAAAATCAACAAGATGAAACCTTTGTCTAACTAGCAAAAGACGGTGAGAGAACATGCAAATTAACAAAATCAGAAATGAAGCTTGGAAAAATAACAACAGATCATATGAGGAAATGCAAAAAATCTTCAGGTCATGAAAACATGTACTCCACAAAATATGAAAATTTAGAAAAGGACAATTTTCTGGATAGATACCCTTACTAAAATTAAATCAAGAACAGATAAGCCATTTAAATGTACATGTAACCCTAATAGAAGAATAGATGCATTCGTAATGTCTCCCAAACAAAAAAGGCACAGGTCTAGGTGGTTTCATTTGCAGAATTCTACTAGAGGAAATTCAAAGAAGAGCTAATAACAGTACTCCTCAAATTGTTCCACACAATAGAAGCAGAAGGTTCATTGCCAAAATCTTTTTATGGTGCTACAATTGCCTTGGTACCCAAGCCACACAAAGAAACAACTAAAAGAGATACAGACCAATATCCCTATTGCACATGGATGCAATACTCAATAAAATACAGGCAAATTGAAGCC